TACTTTGTGGTCAAATATATATGCTTTTTGACCAAGACTACTAATGTTATCCAATTACTTGAATTGATATATGATTTTTCTCTAATTTGTTTTCTTAACATTATAACTAAGAGCAATAACAACAATTAATGTTATTGAGCTAATCACCATCACTAGTGTTTAAATTACCGGACCATTACCAACCGGGGTTGACTCAAGTGGTAAGCAGCTTGATGCCGCTTGAGCAAGGTCTATAGTTCGAGTTCTTGTGGATGTAAAAAACTATTCAATATAATTGAACAAACATACGACATGTACAATTGTTGATATTGATTAAAATGTAAATCAATAACATAATAATGCAATGATGAAAATGGTCCAAGAGAATTAAATTCGTGTTCACAAAATAAAATTATAACACCTCTATTATTTATTATACAATTGTTTTCTTTTATTCATGTTTTTTTACGTAGCTATTGTTATTATATTATTATTATTATTATTATTATTATTGTTATTATTATTATTATTATTATTGGTGAAAACACAAATAAGAAAACAAAAAAAAAAAAGAGAGAGAGAAAAAGGGTTAAATTAGGTAAAGAAAATATATGAAAATAAATTGATTAATCAAGGTTTACCTACCTTATTGCCATTATGCCATAAGCGGTTAGCACATTAAAACTTGTCCGCCGTGGATAGGGAAGCATAACGGATTATAATACCGTAAAAATACGAGTCGAAATATAGCAGTCAACAAATAAACAAATATATAGTAACAATTATTAGCTCAAATTGCAATATTTAAATTGGTAGTTTATATACTTTATTTTTCTCTCATTGATTAGTTGCAATTTAATGAATATAGTCATTTTCTTGTATTTGTATATATATGTTTATATGAATTATTATATGTGTTAATTCCATAATACAACAAATTTAATGAATATGGTCATTTTATTTTAGTTTTATATATATGTTTATATATAAATTATTATATTTGTTAATCAATAATACAACCGATATTAATAGTTTATACACTGACATTTGCCATAAATAAGAACTAGAATTTGAGATCACACGTAAATGTCACACCTAAAACAAGGTGCGCTTGTTTATACGTCAAGGTCAAGATGTATTAACATGATCTTATTCCTATTATCCTGAAATTAACTTGACAAATATTTTTGGGCTTTTGGCCCATGGTAAAAGAGCATATTGGGCCCATATCAAATTAACAAAAGGGCTAACCGACCAATTTTTTAACTCAACTTTAACTCAACCCTACTATCATCAATATTATCAATATAATTAAATAATATCGATCATTCATACACATCACATCAACCTTAATTCACTATTCATCCACTCACAATATTTTAACTAACCATCACATTAAATTTTTAATTATTTTATTTTAAATATTATTTTATACCTACTAGCAATTAACCATACTACCTTTTCCAAAATTAACCAAACCATACCAAAAAAGCCAACAAAACCAAAAATTTTCATATCCAAACACACATTAAGGTTCCGTTAGGGAACCATTCCGTTGAAGTTTGTAACCGTTAGATCATAATGTAACCGTCAGAGATAATTGATCTAACTGTTACAAATCCCAATAGAATTATTCGGTAACGAGACGTAACATCTATCTAAATGATAAATGTATATTAATTTGAACTACACAAAAGAATACTGCCAAGCCTCTACATTTATGAAAACTGGTTATGTTGTTTGATAACTAGGGTTTTGGAATCAACTTAGAGGTTTGAAGGTGAATTATAAGTTTGACTCGTTAAGAACCACTTAGTTTTTCTGGTTGGTAAGTAGCAATTTAATATAAATATTGGGATCCAAAGAGCTAATTTTCCAAAAGACTTTCACACAAGGGTTAGAAAATTGCAATTTCAGTTATTTTACATATAAAAAACAACTATTTTTTTACAAAACACTTTTAAAGCTGTGTTTGGTTACCAAATAAACTAGCTTATACCTTAATTGATCAAACTTATAAGTTTTCTGTATTAAAATAAGTTCCGTTTGATAAGACGGACTTTTTGAAAAAACTCGAGCTTACCTCATAATATTCATTGGGTAACTTTTCAAATAAACTCGTTGAAATTTTTAATTTAACTAGCTTATCAGCTAATTTTGGCAATCACTTTTATCGTACAAGTTAGTTTTTTAGCTATAAGTCATAAGTTATAAGGTAGAAGCTCAAAAATTACTTATTAATTATAACTTAGTTAATCAGCTATGAAAACACAAATTAGTTATCTCATTCACTTAGACTATCTTTATCCCCAACCCAACCCAACCCAACTTAACAATTAAAAATTATTTATATCTCATCTACCTACACAACTCAATCTTCCAACCCAATTTATCTTTATTCATAACCCAACTCAACTTAAATATTTATTTTATTTTAATTTATTTAAAAATTGCAATTGTGTTTTAAAATATATCAAGTGTGGTCTCTATTTGTAGAGAATGACAAAATACGAATTTTGATATTTTTTTTTTATTTTTTTTAGATACAAAAAAATACACTTGTGCAATAAAAATGGAACAAGTGTCCCATTTCGGTACAAAAACCGGTTGCGACCCGAGTTCACAATGTGACCTGGGTCGCGGTGCCCTTTT